ACGAATGGATTGCGCAGCAGCGGGGCCGAGTTTATGGTCACGTGGGGCGAAAGCCTCCAACACGGCGCAGTAGGCGAAACCAACCTGACAGAAGCGTTCTCAAAAGAAACACTCTCTAACGAGGGCGTTGAGATTCAAATTTTGAAGGGGGTGGCCATGCCTACGATTAGTGAAAATGATGATGAAAGCAAAGAAACAGACAGTTCGCAGGATCAAGAAACCCTGAAAGAAATAGACCAAGCTAAAAGAGACCGGATCGCGTTGCAAGCAAGCGACACGATCACAGATAAACAATATCAAGATGCGGCTGTCGACGACCCATTTTTCTTAAAGATACAAAAACAACTTAACGCCAGTGACCCCAGCAAAAAGGCGAAGGCGCAGGAGCGTTGGTTGATAGATGACGGTATACTGTGGCAGCGTGAGGATGGTAAAAAGGAGCTCAAGTACGTGCCAGTCACGTTACGAAGAGAGGAAATCCGCATCCATCATGACTCAGACTTTAACCAGCATGCAGGTCGAGACAGTACCCTTCAAGACTTGAAACAGAGATTATATTGGCCAAACATGGACGCTGACGTGGGACGATATGTCCGACATTGTCTATGGTGCCGTAAGGCTAAAAGCTGGCTGCCGAAAAAAGCGGGCAAACTGCAGCAAACCTTACACCAGCATAGCGGGAGTTTACTCTCCATAGACTTGGTGGGGCCACTGCGACGCACTACGGAGCACCAGTATTGTTACGTACTGACGATGATGGATGCATTTAGCCATCATCTAACAGCAGTTCCGATTAAGTCAAAGAGCGCAGTTGATGTGCTTGAAGCTTTTGTACAGAACATTGTTCTCCAAGGACTTTTGCCTTCTCGGTTGGTCTCCGTTAAGGGTGGCAGAAGAAAAATAGTAAAGGGCTCCGTTGTTTCTGACAACGGGACCGAGTTCAAAAATGAGCTCATGCAAAACTTTTTAGAGTTGTTTAAGGTCAGGTTCGGGTATTCTATTCCGTACCACCCTCAGAGCAACCCGGTGGAACGTGTTCACCGTTATTTGGGATCGTCTTTGCGTATTGCATTAGGCAAGAGTAACGCGATTCATGATAATTGGGATGAAGTCCTACCGTATATAGTATTCAGTTACAACAAAAAGTTCATCCCCGGGACGACTATTAGCCCCTTTTTGATGCGCAATGGGTTCGAGCCAGCCTATCCAGAAGATCTGGCTGTGAAAGAACTTGTGTTCCAGAGTAAGACTTATCAAGAAAAGCTCCAGGAAGTGTCCGAGCGGTATGAGCTGGCAGAGCGCCTAGTCCGGGAGGCCCATGAGGAATCCAAGGCTGCGCAACAAAGCCTCCCTCGGGCATTCTACCAGCATTAATCTAAAAACAAAATATAGGATTCCCGCCCCTTTAGTGAGAGAACTACTAACTAACATTACCCCGCCGTCAACTAACTAAATGTTTTCCTCAAATTTGGACGGTGTCACTCACAGGGTCAAATACACAAATACACAAATACACAAAAAACACATTTTCAGTCACTGTCCGCTGGTTCTTGCGAGTCTGGCACAAAGTCGCTGTCTTGAGTGTTGTCAGTTCCCTGCGTGTCCTGACCCTCACCCCTTTGTTGCCGACGCAGAAACAAAGTGATGCGTAATATTGCCTCTGTCTTTGCGAGGCGGTCCGCGGGCAAAAATTCCATTATTAATTTAAAAATTTCATTCGGCACTCGTTTGGCATCATCATCAAGGACAGTCTCATCATCACTCTTCTCCAAGTTTTGGTCAGGGTCTGTGTAAGTCTCCTCGTATTTGTCACCTACACCCCGATGCCAGAAATCCCCCCGCACTTGTCAGTTCCTTTGTACCAAGTTAGCGAGTCATCCTTTTTTCCCTCCTCATATGCTCCGTCATCCCAATCTGGTGACACAACATTTTTATCATCATCAATGTCCCAGTCAGATTCGTCTGAGTCATCGGGCGAAAATCCATTAGCGACATTATCTCTGCGAATGTCAATTTTGTCTTTTAGAGTTCTTTTAGACTTTGGGATATACCATTCACAATGTCTATGCGTCCTCCTGTAGTGAGGCTTACTCTGAGCATTTTTACATTTACACAACGTCTTGGCATTAGGTCTCTTAGACGGGGCTTGTTTTGGCGGAGCGATATTAGCGGTTTGTTTTGGCGGAGCGACCGCGCAGAATGGTTTGCCCCCTAACTCAGCAATGCGTCTATTTTGCTGTTGGAAAATTTTAAATCACTCCTCGTTCTCCCTGTTTAACGCATCCTGTCTTATAGCATTGTTTGCCAGTATTTCCACGACCTTGTCGGTTATTGCCCGTCCTTTCGAGAAAATCTCGTCCCTCGTTGCTTGGTCTAAACCTTGTGCCAATTCGTTTATCTGGAGCACGAAAATCGAGACAGCCGTTTCCTCATCCACATCAATCGTTGCCTCCTCGTCATCCCCATTATCTACGTCTTGAGAAGCCTCAGTTGACATTACACGCTATTCATCGTTAATCACGGGGATTATCTACAGGATATACAGGATACGATTAGATATAGCTGACGTCGAATTCAATGGTCGATGTTCATGCTCGTCGCTTGGCCTTCTCCAGCCAGCCAGAGCTTGACTACGCCATTCGTCGGCTCAGCCCATCGAGAGAGGCCGAATCAGACGATGTGAATCGTGTGATGTCCGCTTTTGCGTCTCAAAACGCTGACACACATGATGAGCCGACTGCCGTGGTGTCCTTGCCAAATGAGAATGCTATTAGAATTGAAGCTTTGGAGAAACGAGTCCTCGAATTATCTGAAATCGTGCTACGTCAAGATAAAAACCTGATGGAGTTGCGGGCGGTGCTCGCATTTGCATTTATTTTCGGGTTCACTTTCGGGTTCGCAGTGGGCAGTCGCTCCAGGCCCAAAAGTTTTGTCCAAAATTCGCATGTGGCTTCCGCTCCAAAGACAACACAACACCCCCAATAGCTCCAACTCGGTGTCTTGTGTATGATTCACTTGCCTTTAGCGAAATGAGATTCTTAGCTTCACTGGGCCTTTTCGGCTCCTGTGCTTCGCTCGCGCCGAGTGTCGCCGTCACGCATGCCGGCGACGGCGCCGGGGCCTCCTGGGCCGCGCGCACGCGCGTCGACAGGCCCAGCTCGCAGAGCTTCACGCGGACGTCCCAGAAGCCGCCGCCCCGGGCCACGAGGAGCACGTTCTCCGGCTTGACGTCGCGGTGAGAGAGTAGTGTGATTACCCTTTTTGACCTGCGACGAAACGATGCGGAGGTGACGACAATCGATCCATGACGCTGCGCAGCCTCGAAAATTGCTCTAAAGGGGTGCTGGAGCCGAGCGCGTCCAATCCCACTCCTAGAACCGCCCGCCCGAGTCGCCACGCGATCGCCTGGATGTCTTGTTTTCACCACTGCTTCGTCCGTGCGCGCGCGGCCGTCGAAGCTGCTGGGATCGTTGCACAGCGCCTCATATTCGCGGAGCTGTGGGGCTGCAAAGACGACCATAGCCTACTCAGGCGCTCCTGAGCGCTCCCTCGTCCTCGATGTAAAAACTACACCTAGTTAGGATATGTTATTGCTTCAAGGTTTGGGAAATATGTAGAGAGTAATACCCCTAAACTAGGGTACTAAAGAACATTGAGATCAACGTTATGGGGAGGTGCAGTGTCATCTCCATAGTGTGACGTCGCGGTAGAGAAGGAACAGGGTAATGCAAATTATGGGGATGATGGGAATCACGAGGCTACTCAATGCGATACATATGACATGGAATGTGCGATAGAACTCAACTTCAGCTTTGTGTGAGTTACTGAACCAGTCATGCTCTGTTATAGCCTAGCAATAATGGACCTTTTTACTCTGGATAACAGATTACTCTCTGCTCCATCTCGGTCATAGCTGGGATTGATGACCATAATTCGATCGATGATCTTCTCCTGCTTTTAAAGGGCGTATCGGGGGCAGCTGGCTCGATGAGCCCGGATGGCCGCGGAGCTGAGTCAGAGCGACACCCAGACGCTCGACGAGCACAGCCGTAATCCTGGGGAGTCGTTCGATCTGGCGTTCGCCTGGCTTTCGCAGTTCTTCGGGGGTATTTGTGTTGGGGTGGGTGTCATATGGTCGCACTCCAATGAGATTGAGGTTAGCCTAGTAGCTTCTCGGCTGCTGTTATTTATTGTTGCCGCCCCAGCCCCCGACCAATCGGCGTCGTCATGATGGTCGACCGGGAAGTTCAGACCCTCTCAAGACAGTCAGCCACGAGTAGCACCGTTTAGGGATTGATATGAGTCAGTTGATTCGCTCTATCTCAATCACACTTCTTCTCCAACTATGCCTGTTGAATCTAGGTTCATTGCCACGGGTCTGTGGGGCATGTTCAATTGCAGGCGCAAATATTGGCATCGCTCCACGCGCGAGACGTTCCTCATTTTTCAATCTAGATTGAATGGGTCTCTCGAGTCGGACCGCTCCTTCGATGATATCCAAACCGAGGGTTTTTTTGCTCTTTCGGTAGCCATCATTTACAAGCTTCGACCTGAATGACTTCCGCCGAACTTTGAGGACAAAATTCATTAGTTTCAAGCCCATATGCTCCGAAGCTTTCTTCATTTCCGTGTCCTCGGTTTCTTTGACGACTTGTTCTGCCAAACTGCCCCAGGCTGTCGAAAGAGGGGGCATTATCTTACCACCAAACATGAGTGTGGAAGAGAGTAAGATCTCAGACACACGCCGCACGCACAGGTATGCGTTAGGGAAAACGGTGACCCGATGGTGCAACATGGCGGGTATTGGTCTTTGCACAGCATCATCATAATGGAGTGGCGACAAATCGACACGATCAAAGGCAAAAATGGCCCATCGCTCTACGACAACATCGTTGTCATCCTTGCATCGGAACCCATCTGGAGGCAGAGACCGCATTGCCGCACATGTGGCATCGCGATCATAATTGCGGATCGCAAGAATAATCTTGGCAACACAGAGACGCTCTTCATCATTCAGATACCCCACTTGGCCGAAATCGATCAGCCCAACACGCCCATCATCCATGCAAATGACATTTCCCGGGTGCGAATCCACATTCACACAACCCTCTATGAGACACTGGTACCCGAGAGCCTCAACAAGAACCTGCAGTATAAGAATGATCTTGTGATAGTCTGCAACAACCTGCCTAGACTTGGACAAACCCAATACAAGGTTTTGTAACTTTGTGACAGAATCGAAAATATTCCCCTCGATAATTTTGGCAGTTGCAGCAGCCAGTTTTAGTAATTCTGATGGCGGTTGAATATGGATCCGTGTATCGCAACTATCGTTAATTTGCTCTTCTTTTGAGTTCATTTCGTCAGCTGCTCTCGACGCCATAACCCCCCAGTCGGATGGGCCAAACAACTGCTTCAATTCGTGGGAGCAGCGATCCACAAATTTGTCAAACGTGACACCGGGAAGAAAATCCATTACAAGAGTCTTTCGAGACGTCAAGCAGCGCGCTGGTTGTGGGACCACAACTTTGTGAGGCGATAGACCGGCACGGGCCATGGCCCGACCCATGCGTTCAAGTGTTTGCGCCTCGTTCCACATGTCCAGTTCGCGCAAGTGTTGTTCCTGCGCCGCCTTATTCGCCTCATACATTCGTGGGAAGAAGGAGTTGCACAGTCTGAGAATTATTCTCAGATCAAGGGCAAAGTATGCTCTCACCTCGGGGTACTGGATCTTCACAATCACCTTTCGTGCCTCTTTGCCAGCGCGATATTCGGGCCTGAGCACACCCACATATGTTTGTGCCAGAGACGCCGCGCCAATGCAATTCGGGTTGATGGTCTCAAAAACTTCCGACAATGATTTACCTGTAGAATCATGAAAAACTTTGGCCATCACCAGAAATGGCCGCTCTGGAACGTCGGCTAACAGCGGTTTCAATGCGTCGTAATATTGGGGCGGCATGAGGCCCTTTTTTAACAACAATTGCTGACCCTTCTTGATAAAAAATCCACCCAAAGTGCAGATCCCGACAAAAGCTTTGCACGCAGTCCTCTCATGGAACTTAGTTTCCTCAAACGCCGCGCGCTCAGAGCTCCAATTCAAAATACGACCGCGTAACTTCAGTATCTTGTAATCGAGCCATGGAGGGATAATATGACTGTAGATCTGGAGGAGGCGCGAAACTGATAAGAAAAATTCAACCACAAGCATTGTAAATCACTGCCGGAAAAGTAAGTGCAGACAATGAGGCCAGCCAAAGAAACACGCAAGAATATTAAGACGGATCGCCAGCAATCTTTATTCGCTAAGGACGCTCGCGTCTATCGTCTAGGGCGGCTTAGACGATGGTGGGCGTTTAGCGTGGAATCGCTGCCCGAGGACCTCCGGTGGGCTTCGTGACCCACCCGCTGTGCTAGCTCGGCCCGCCCGGGGCGTTCGGGGCCCCGCGGGCTGCGGAAGGGCGCCCCGTGCCGGGGCGTGACGCCATGCCACAAGGCGCTTCTCGCGCGGCCGCTGCTTGCGATGATGTCGGGCCGGATGAGCTGCGCGCGATGGAGGGTGAGTTGCACAGGTTCTTGCACAAGCTTACCGACGGTAACGCGGCGCATGCGGTGAACATAATGACCACCGCGTTGCGTTACATTCCTCAAAGTAATTTCGAGGTGCGGCCGAATCCATTCGGTTCTTACGGTGGCTCCCTTGACTTTGTTGGTGCTCCCTATGGTCTGGAGCCTGGTGCACTTCGTGCTGCTTCTGATGAGATTGTGCGCAACTGGGATAATGTGGAGATTCGTATAAAACAATTTTGGCACGGCTTCGAGTACGGTGTGCTACAAGACGAGGATGCGGATGCGTTTCCTGCTCACGTCAGGAGAATGCCCAGACAAGTTGCCTTTAATCTTAGCTCAGGGCGAGCGCGGGAATCGAAATTGTTTCCATGTCTTCGGCAAATTCTGCACACAATTCTAGAACGTGTCCGTGTGCTCGGGTTTCATTTGACACTCATGGACTTGCACGTGCTCCGGCAGTCTTCAGAACACGCATGTTTTGAGGAGCATCTCGATCTACACAATGCCAATGATGTCGCCATAATCTGTGTTCTTTCTAGAAGTGATACTCACGATGAAAGTGAAGATGCGGAAGAGTACGCTCAGGAAAAAAGTGGAGTTCACATCCGGACGTTACCTTTGTCTCAAACATGTCCCAAAGTACGTTTTTCATGGTTGTGTGTTGTGATGGAACTTTTGTAGGTGTGGCTGCCTTTAAAGCAGCCGGGCGACGGTGTCTTAATTCGCGGGAACAAGCACTACCATATAACGTGTCCTCCCCCGGACGGAGTTGAGATTTTGAAGCTAGTTCTATTTTGCTCGGAGGACTAGGATGCAAGCGTTAAAAATGTAAGTAGGTTGGGGGATAGGCGAGCGAGGTCGGTTGGGAACGTAACTAGTGGAGTTTTAGGTGCCAGCTCAAGCGTAGTTTCGTAGTGCTTCAATTGAGGTCTTTACGTTTTACGTTTCTTTGCTGCTATTTTTTCGCGTGTCTCTTGTGTCTTCCTGAGTTTCTCCTTGGCCTTCTGTGCTTCCGTGTCAGCTCTGTAGCCTAGCAGTTGCACGTACCGCGGCGTGCCACACCAGTGCTGATAATCGCACTCGAGCGGGGCTACTGGCTCGCCGGATAGTATGGTGCCCTGATTTTCACGATTTCTGCATGGGAGGCACCTGCACGCTATGAATCTGGTTTCAATAAACATCTTCTTTTTGCCATCTTTGCCCGTGCAAAACAGATCATCAGGATCTGACTCGGAGTCCACGCGCGCCAGGGGATGTTCTTTCGGCTCTGGCGTCCACGGGGCTTTGATCCTAACGCAATACAGCTGGCTTGAATGCGCGTTCGGAGCATCATAGTGGATGCCTCCATTAACTTCGTCTACAGTTGCCCAGCCTTGTACGTCCGTGTCCTCGTGTTTCGCTGCGCCGTCGTTGTAGCCCCCATATATATAACAACCGTTGCATGACCACGTACCTGCAGGGCTTGGGCTTGGGTGTTTTATGTACTCCATACAAAAATCAACCATGCCCTTTGCGTCGTAGACTGAATTTGGAAGGGTGTCTGATCTGATCATCTTCTGGCGCAACCTCGCGGGCTGCGCACCGTATGCGTCGACCGGGCCGCTCATGTGGTGCGCTGCGCCAAACATCTGCATGATCTCGACATCGTATTTTTCTGTAATTCCATAGAGATACCCAAAGGAAGGTGCGCCTTTATACGTCGATGTTTTTCCGTCTGAAATCACTGTAATTTTTTTAAGCCCGGGCACTGCGCCTCGGGAACATGCACGCCCGATTGCGCTCAGAGCGGGCGGACGCAGCCGATCACGTCGAGGCTCTCCCCATCCTCCTTCTGGCATTTGCAATTTTGATTCCTTGTGTGGGTCCTGGCCGCTGTAGTGCACGAAAATCTCTTCTATTAGGAGAGCGTTGTAATGCGCACAGTCCTTGGCCCCGCTAAAGATGCGCCAGACGTCCGTCTGAACGGGCCTTTCTTGCCCGTCCACTTGCTCGCCTGGGTTGTAAAGCACGATGGCGACCGCGCATCCAACGGCAGGGCTGATCTCGCTGGTGCTTTGTGCGATCCCGTGCAGTTTGTTGCGGTTCGCAAAGTCCGTAACAACGACGATCGACCGTTCGCCATCGAAGGTAGCAATTTCCAGCTCCTGCGCACGTTTGGTCTGTTGCTTGATCCACATGTGATAATGCCATTTGTTTGTTTTATCTGCCAACTTGTTGCTGATCTCACCATACGTGGACGGAACTTTTACGAACTTGTCCGCAAAGCAC